TAAACACCTTTAATATCAGGGCTAATAACTTGAGGGGGCTTAGGGTCGCTAAAAGCTTTGGGAAGGAAGAACATTTAAATACCTGTGCACAAGCTGTGCTGGGTGAGCTGAGGGGCAGCAGGGAAGGGCCTGGCTGTGCCCTTGGCTGCTGCTGGGACGCCGGCTGTGCGGCTGTGCGGCCGCGGGCCAGCTGGGGTTGAAGATTCCAGCCCACTGACCCCCATGACACGTTCTCGTGGAACAAAGCCCATCTCCTCTAACGCAGCTTTTTCCCAGGAATTGGTCCATACGGAATAAAATAAATAAATCACAAGCGTTTTGCGAAGGGGAAAAAAAAAAAAGTTCCTGCTCTACATAACTCGGGGGAGCAGATGTTTTTCCATTAGCTCACTGTTCTCTGCTACACTGGCTCTCTTTACATTTCTTGTTCGTGGCACGTTCATTATAATATTTTTTTCCTAGGGTAAACTTCTAGCACGTTACTGAGACAGCTGGTAGCCCACTCCAGCACCACTGTGAGTACATGGAATACTTATCCTAGTCATTTTTCTTTAAATGCTCTTTTAAATTAGCCTTAGGTGTACCTGGTGTAAGTGAGACTGTGCTTAGCAGGCATTTAGCCAATCTTAGATCAAATTACCAGACCTACTTTGCTGTGAGTGGCCATATTTGGTAAAGTATTGAGTTAGACAAGAAGCTAAATTGTCAGATATAAAGTACTAGTAAAGACAAACAAAGTGGACACTGTAGTTAAAAGTAAAGCTTAAAATAATATAACAACAGGAGCTGGAATATTAGAACTCTTGTTAAAACTGGCTTGTAGCATTCTAAAATGCTCCGTATAAATAAAGCATATGGTTATTACTGCCTGGAAATATATTCACACATATTTCAGATAAGAAATCACTCCAGTTACCCAAAGAGCTTAAAACTATTAAAACTACTTCTTTTCAGCACTGATATGCTTTGCTCTTTGGGTCAAAAGTGATCTTACAAAAATGTCAAATGAAGGTAAATTTTGGTCATAAATTTGAACCATTTCAAGTACATTTTCCGTAGCCAAACAGCATGATTGTATTTTCTAAACAGAAAGGAATACTGGCATGATTTTAAAAAGGAAATAAGGGGTAGAAATAGTTCTTAGGTCAGACATTTCTCTTGGTAACACAAGCAGTATTATCACCAGTAACCTCTAGGATTCCCCTTGCAGCTCTTCCTGCAACAAGAGGTAGAAAGAGTTTTACCCAAGCTGTGGAAGTTCCCTCTCTCCTCTTGAAGTTGAATTCAAGCTCTCAGTTATAAAAAGTAGAACAAAGATGAAAATTGGGCATACAGATCGCATGAAGACCACCTCTCCCAGAGCTGCACCACAGCAGCATGTGCAATGCAGCACCCTGCCCGAGTACTCCTTGAAATGACCTGTTTCTCAGACTTGGGGCCAAGAAGAATGTTTAGGCTTATTAATGTTAAAGCCTAATGAGACAACTCTCTCCTTTTAAGAAGCCATTACATTTCAAGAGGACTGGAAGGTTATTGTTAAAAGCAACCAGACAAGCTGTGTTAATCACAGTCTTTGCTGCAGAACACTTGGAAAACAGAGTATGCCAATTAGTATTCCTCTAAGCACGCCTGCCGCAGGGAGTGGACAACCTCTCTAGTCTTTGGGGACAGCTTTTTACTCTTCCAAAGCTAATTGTGACTACCTGCAGGGAAAACAGGAAGATATGGAAGTCCACTGAAGAAATGTGCTAAGTTCCCTGCTGCAGATGACTGTACTCCCAGCTGGTCCTACAAGAAATGGCTGGACATAAGATTAACAGTGAGAATTCACAGTTTTATTTGGATGTGTGAAAGAGAAGAAGAGGACTCTTTCTAGAGACCACAGATCCATCAAGTAGCTCTTTGGTTGACTACAGTAAGCTACAAAAAATGAGCTTGCCAAAGTTCACTAGGCACTACTGCAGGGAAAGCCAAAGTGCAGCATCCATTATAGTGCGGCACATTTGGACTTAGCAGCTGTGCTTCCAAAGCTGCTGCTTTATTATCTTCCCTACATAACACTGCTGGTCATAAACCCAGAAAAGTTAACTATTTGCATAGGGTCCACAGCCTCGCTTGCCTTCAGCCACCGTTAAAAGAATGCACATGTTCTCATGCACTGTGAGACCCATTCGGAGCGCAACAAGGGCTCTCCAGCCCTGAGGGACTGAGGATGCTTCTGCACAAGGCAGACACTCCTTATTGCAGCTGCAGGTGGAGCAGGATACAGTAACGATGCCCCTACATAAGCAGCATCTGATAGCTACCACCCACTAACCCTGCCCTTGCAAGCCTATGTCCTGGCTTTGTGGCCTGGCTGCTGTAAGAACAGCCTCACGCAGCAGCGGGATAGCTGGTTTTGTATGCTTCTTTCCAATCTGAGTGCAGAAAGGTCTAACTGGATCAGTTGGTTGGTAGCATTAGTTTTCATGCCTTGGGCTATGAAGGGGCACGGGAACGGTAATGGCTCTAATGGAACCCCAGACACGATTGCAGCCTGGCGCTCTAAATCCATACCCACACATAGAGACATGGCCAGCTGTGTCCCATTAGTGTCTGAAAAGGACAGATGCTTTGTTATAAATTTACTGTAGTGTGAGGTTTGGAAATTTTAATAATTTTATCTAAGGATTTATGATTCATGCAAAAAAAGTTAAACTGTTAACAACAACAAAAACAACAATACACGAGTCATTTCCCGAAGGCAGATTAACATTTTTTCCCTTTAGAAATAGGACACTGAGGTATGAAAAAGTTAGGCAACTTGCCTAGAGTCACAACATGAGTCATTGACTGAAAAAGGACAAGTGTGAGCTAAACCTGATAGAAATCTACATCATACTGGTGCGGCTCTATCATGAATATGAAGGGACTCTGGATGCAGGCGTCGGTATTTTACACTAATCGCCTGTTGATTTCCACAGCTGTTAATTTGAGAGTGAGCTGTAAATGCAAAAGCATGTGACTACCTCAAGTCTTTTTAACCATCCACATCTGTTTAATTTGTTGTTTATGAAGTACCTCCTTTTTTGGAAGTTATTAACTTTTTACAAATATACCTGTTCCTCCTTTCCCCTCCTTCCAGATGTGAAAGATTCTAGTACAGAGGGTCGGTGATACCCTTTTGGACTATTCCACTCACTAAGCCCAGTGTAAAATCCAACCCACTTCAAAGAAGGCCTCTAATTATTCAGGAGCTGTGCCCTTCTCTGCAGAGAGTAAAGACTCCCCCAAAATACCTGCATCTCTCCTCATCCCTCAGGATACCAGAATGGAGCACTTCCACACTACTGCAAGAAGAAAACGTACCTCACCAAGAGCTCATTATGTCAATAACTGACTTCAGTAACAAAATTACAAAGCAGTCACAGTATGTATTTTCAGAATATCAATCCTGATTCAAGTCCAGTTAAACGTAAGCACTAAACAAAACAAAGATTTAAAAAAATTATAGAATAGGACAGAAAAGTTACATCTTATAAAAATAAATTCTATCTAAAAGAATTAATTAATGCCTTTGAGAAAGGCACTTGAGTTACACTGAAAAGTAACTGTAGCAAATCACAGCTAGGTCACAGCAAGCACTCGGTCTTTATTGCTTTTGTCTTTTCACACAGCAGCAAAAATGTAAACTGCCTAGAGCTATCTGCAGGATGATGGACAACAGACACTTGACTTCTCATCACAATAAACTCTTTTTTTTGCTCCCCACCAGCTTCCTCTGCAGCCTTAAATCAGGAGCATAAACTGAATAAAGCAAAATCTTGCTAGTGATTTTGAAGCCCGCAGCACATCATCAAAATTTACATACACGCAAGCCATTACGTGAACACATACGATTAACTTAAAGGACGGTGCATTCCATAAAGTAACTTCTTTTGTTCTTTAATATTTAGTCAAATTGTGACAAAAAGAACGTCACGTATTTTGTACCAGAACTGAAGCCTAACTGGTAGGAAATGGCCCACAAAAACAGCTATAAAAACCTTTGCTGAGAAGTAGGGTAAGACTGTCAGGTTTTATGTGAGAATTGCCAATTGTACAGATTATCTAAATGAGAATTTGAAAGGTTCTCTTGCATACAGAATAGCAAATTATCAGCAAGGTTCCAGTGGGCTCTGCTTTTTTTTTTTGTTGTTGCAAATGGTAGCATAGACATCCAAGAAGCAAATCACAGCACTCAAATGTAATTTCAGGTGCACAACTGTGGGCCCAGTTGTGGAAGAAAAGCTGTGTCTCTTAAGAGCAAAATTGCAGGGTCAGAACTCTTTCTATCAGTCCTGAAATGCTGGAATGCAAATGGTAAGACTGTGCTGTGCAACTCTGTTCCTCACCAGGTGCCCTACATAAAACCCTTTCATGCGTTTGGAGATCGCCTCTGAGTAGAGTTCCTTCTCACTGTACTCTTTTCCCTTTACGCACTCTGCTGTAGCACCTCTGCGTGAGTTTCTCAAACTGACATGCAACCTTACAAGTCCTTGAGAGATTCAAACAGTTAAGGATAAAAATGAGGGAAAGACTTGCTCTTTTAATAATTTTCACTTAAACCTCAGCAAAGACTGGAAAGTTCCCAGTCTAAAGAACATTTAATACATGGTTTGCCCTGTCTTATTACAGGGAACCACATAGGAAAAGGAGAATGTCCCTATCAACTACCATTTGTTAATGAAGAACTACCTACCCTCTTCTTTTAAAAGCAGATTTTAGTGATGACTGAAGTCCTCTGCGTGTTATGGAAAGATCAAGGTGAACTAAAAATTGCACTACTCCAGGTTTGTTTGGGGTTTTTTTGTTACATTGAATCAATTAAGTGGTATTTCAGAAACTGGCTGGGATAGGCAGGCAGATTTTCTGCTGGAATAAGGTGGTCTCAACTACTGATTTTGACTACTCCATTAATGCCTATGTCATCTCATTCACCACTTGCGAGAAAAAAGAACTCCAGGTGGTCCAGGACTTACCAGCTTGTAGCCAAATTTGTTCAAGAGCTGTCCACAGCTGCATAGGTCCTTGCTTCATTGCGCTGCTCTGCATAGTTATTTCAGACATGGCCTGCTCCAGTCTTGATGCAGCAAGGGAAGAGGCTCGCTGTGATCCTATGGACCAAACAAACAAGAACATTAATACATTTTATACTTCTTTGGGAAATTTCTTTGACTCATTAAAGCAGCAGGTCTGATTCTCCACTCACTGCATCAGTTTTATGTAATAACAACTCCACTGAACTCTGGCACGACCAACTGGAGAAACGTGTTTTATAAAAGGTTAATTTACTGAAAAAAAACACTGAATTACCCAAGGGCTGCAGCTCAAACAAGCGAATTAAGAGACAGACAGCAATTTTATAAAGGTCTGCTTAGCATTCATCAAGGAAGCAACCATATTTTGCTCATTTGGAAAGCAGACCTCTACCATCAAGTATTTCCTACAAATACTTATTAGTAACCCGTTTTATAAGCATACTGCCACCATACAATTACAAAATACGGCTCACATGCAAAATCTTAATACAGCATTATAGAGTAGCTTGGTACCATTCACACAGCACACACATTTCAAGTGACATCAATATTGTTCTACTGGTTTAGAGGGAGTGTGGTTTTTCATTTAACCTTGGGGAGCAGAGAGCTCAGTGCTTTGACTATATTAACCTTTAGTATGCGCTGTAACATTTACGCAAGAATAAAGTATTTGGTGCCCACATCTCTGGGACAAAACATCACATCAAAAGCTACTCCCAGGAAGAATGCATGGGCGGAGACCATGTTCTCCAGTACAGCAAGCGGGATTATACTGGTGAGCCAATCTCTCAGAGGGGTATCAAGAGGGTGGTAACAAACTAAGAAGCTACAAAATGGGATTTCAGGGCTGGCTTTGTAAAGCTTTGGGAAAGAAATATTGTAATATACATAAGTTTAATGTGATTTTAAGGTTGATAAGCTCTTTCTTTGGAGAGCTGCTTCTGACACTTGCACTGATTAGCATTACTCTTCAATCTACCCTTACAGGCTGACCTTGTAGACCACAAGATCCCGGAGTTAAAATCACGCTTTCTCTCACCGTAGCCGCCCTCAGGGAGCAGCAGAGCTTAGGAACAGGTACTGGGAGAAGCTGGGATGGCTCTGGGCATGGGAAGGGACACAAGGGCAAAAAACCTATCACGGGGCACATGCATTACATGGTCTCTCTGAGAGGCACGGCGTGCTTTTCCAGCTGGATTGTGTGGAAGAGAGGGTTGCCAAACCACACCACCTCACCAGCAGACCATCACCTGGGGGCCAGGGTGCCAGCAGGCACAGCAGCGTGGTCCCCCGGCCGGCGCTCCTCTGCACGCCGAGCTGGGAGCCAGCCTTCCGCCAGGCGCGAGGGGAGGCACATTTCTGCCCCACGCTCCTTCCCAAAGACACCTGTGCAGCGCGGGGCAGGACACGGCCCGCAGCTTTTACCTAACCCGAGGCAGCGCTCCCAGCCTCCGAGAGTGTCATGGCTAGGGAGCGGCCACAAGTGCAACTCGAAACCTAAAACTGTGATGGGAAATATCAGTCCCATTATCTCACCGCTAACTAATGTCATTCATTTTAAGCAGGAGAACTTCAAAACAGCCCTGCAGCGCAGGCGCCTCCCACGGCTCCCTTGGAAAATGCAAATGTGTTCTTCCTAGATGCATTTCTTAAATTCCTACATATTTTCAAAGACATTCCTGATCTAATATTCCAAGAGATGACAGTGCAGTTATGTAGCAATTACGGCTTTAATGGTACGGTAAAAGCCATTCTGCTTTGCATGGAGAATTTATTATATTTAACAGTTTATTTAACAGATCCGTCTTCAGCCTGTTTCACCGCACAGGATTCCTTCCCCTGCCCTGCCCGCTCACTCCTCTCCCCCCATCCCTCCCTCCACCTGGGAGAAATTTCACTGAAACTCCCAGGAATTCAAGCCAGACAAGGGTTCTTTAACACAGGGAAAACTACCAGCCACTCATCCCCAGCCATCCAAAACATGGGACAGCTTCTTTGCACTGCAGAGGCAACAAGAAAAAGGCCACGTGAACAGCTAGTGATGTTCTTAGGAGCACTTTGAAGTTAGGGCAGACCTCATGCCTAGATTGGCAAACTTGGAAAAAATTACATGGGCTTTGGGGATATTGCAGTCAGCCTAAACAGATTCTTATATTAGCACTCCCGATCACATTAGTATGCTCTGAAAGCTAACTTTCAGTATTACATTTCTCTGCCAAGACTGCCCTCTTTCAGAGAGGCTTTCTGGAGCTGTGTTCCTTGCAAGCACGCGTATGTAATGCTGGTCTGACTGCTTGAGGTGGGCAGATGGGCTGGTGTTTTATTTACATTCTCACGGAGCTCAGGGAAATCCTCTTTTCCTGGCAAGTCAATCCGAGGAGACTATGTCACTGTAAGGCACCTTTGTGCATTCTGGAGGGGTCCACACACTGCTGTGAGGATGAACAGGCACTTAGGATCTGCTAAAGCATCCTTCTGTCACAAAGCAGGCTTTACAGGAATATCACTATGAGTTAGTTGCACTCAAAGGAATATGAGTTAGTCGCTCCTCTTCTTCTCTTCATTAGCCGGGTGGTTGCCAAGAGGGGAAACCCTGTGATTTGAGACTGATCTTGCGCAGTGCTGTGGGCTTCAATCTGCACAGCAATATAAAGGGAACCCAAGTTACTTATCAATTTACAGCAGAGGCTCTTTGCATGTAACAGCCTTTGGCATTCCAGTCCTTTGATGTTTATTTTCTTTTCCATTTCAGCCTACACATGGAAGCAAACCACATTAGGCAGAGACCATCCGATCCCTTCCCATCCCTGCCCAGCCTCAGACACAGATAAACTCCTCGTTCTAGACCCACACACACCAGATGAAACAGCTCTCTCCATCCCAGCCCATACCTGCACGTTTGCTGCTGCTGTTCTCGCCCATCTCCGCTGGACCGCTCACAGGAGCGCCCCTTCAAGCTTGTCTGCCCAAATAAACTCTGTAAGAGAAGGTATTTGCCAGCCTGGCCCTTCTGGACTGAAAGGTGCTCAGCCACAGCTCTGAACCTCAGGCAAGCAACATGGTGACCCTGGGGGTGGGCTGAAGGCTACCAGAGCCAGAAAAGAGTGTATCTCTAACACACACGCTGTCCCCCGAGAGGAGGAGGTAGGCAAGTGTCGCACCAGTATCACTCTGACCTCAGGGTGGCAGGGATGAGGGGAGGAAGAGAGCCAGAAAAACTTCAAGCAACATTAAAAAAAAGTCTCTGAATGTCTCATTATAAAATATCTCTTCCTAAAGAAATGTAGATCTTTATATGCTAAAAAACCCACAAAGCCTGTCTCACAGAACTTTAATATCATGCCTCAAAATACATGCAGATGTTGGCATAAGAAGATAGCACATCGATTTGTTATTTCAGTGCAGTCTCTTTCTCCTTTTAACAGCTCCACTAGACAAGAATATAAGCTTCACATTTTACAGTAAAGCCCTTGACATGTTTTGGAAAGAAATCATAAAAATAACAAAATTGATTTTGTCATGATGAGCTCGGCATATAAGCCATACAAAATATATCGAAATAATTTTAAAGCACCATTCTAGGGTTGTTATAAGACCAAGAAGGACCATGTTTAATATTTTGCATCTATGAAAAAACTGCTATCAAAATAGAAATGTACCTCAGTAGATTTACTAGGCTTATAAGAAACACAGAATTCCCTAGCCTAAATCATTTCAGGCAAGAGCATTGTAAGATAAGACTAAATCAGAAAAAGAATGAAATAGCAAGGCAGCTGACTGATACCAGTGAATTTAGTTAGGAACACTGCTTCAGTTAGGAGAAGATGAAGAAAATAAAAAGGAATTAATCTTGCTGGCAGCAAACCTAAAATTCTGGCACAGCAAATAATCTCATTGTGGTCTAACTGAGGGAGAGGCCAGTGTCAAACTCGACTGCAGTAATCCCCCCTTCAGTGACGAGCCCAGAGATCACAGAGTGCCTGTGCGCTACAGTGATACTGCTGCACGCTCCCGGGGGGTTTCATGATAGAAACCAGAGTCTGTTCCAGAATGATGAGAAAAAAAAAAAAAAAAAAAAAAAAAAAAAACCAAAACTCAGACCTCCTCCCTCCTTCAAAGCAGCCAGCCACAGCTCTGGGGAGACACCAGGCCAGGACGGGCTAGAGCTGTAGTCTCCAATCTCACCTCTTGCTGCCTTAGAAGAGGCTCCCAACCAGGACAACAGACCCAGCTGCCTCCTTTCTGCAGCACCTAGAGCCTGCAAAGCAGCGAGCCACAGACCCTTCCTGAAATCAGCCAGTGCCAGTCCGGCGCTAAGGTGGAAGGTGTAAGCTCAGTACGAGCCCCATCCTGTGGGGTGCAACCACATCAGCATGGAAACCTAGATTCTCGAAAAGGAGGACGAATACATTTCTTGGCTAAAACCAAACCGCATTCAGTGTGAATCACTTTATGTGTGTGAAAAGCTGGTTTAAAGCTTGTACTTTACATTAGTTTGCTCTTTCTGGCAGGCAGTACCATGGCATACAGCACATGCTCCATTGCATGCTGGCTGCTACAACTGGGCTAAGAGCAGGCTGGAACAGGAACCCAACCCAGGTGCTTTTTGAGGAAGGCACTACATAGAGACCAAATGTGCCTGAGCTTTGCTGTGACTCTGGAGGAGTCTGCAGCAGAGGAGCGAGCAGGAGGCAGGAGTGAGGTCTTTAGAAGGGTGGCATACCAGTACATCAAAATACTACAGGCTCTGCTGGCAACAATTTGGTCTCAAAATCTCAAACCATGCTGTGAAATGGGTGTAGCCCAAATCTGGCCACTCCTTTCTCCAGACAATTACAAAGCAATTAGATCTTGACAGGCTTGAGGGGTGGGCCCATGTGAACCTCATAAAGTTCAACAAGGCCAAGTGCAAGGTCCTGCACATGGGCTGGGGCAATCCCAAGCACAAACACAGGCTGGGCAGAGAATGTACTGAGAGTAGCCCTGAGGAGGAGGACTCAGGGGTGTTGGTTGATGAGAAGCTCAACATGACCCAGCAATGTGCACTTACAGCCCAGAAAGCCAACCGTATCCTGGGCTGCATCAAAAGCAGCATGGCCAGAAGGTCAAGGGAGGTGATTCTCCCCCTTCTACTCCACTCTTGTGAGACCCCTCCTGCAGTACTGTGTCCAGCTCTGTGGCTCCCAACAGAAGAAGGATGCTGACTGTTCAAGCAGGTCCAGAGGAGGACCATGAAAATGATGAGAAGGATGGAACACCTCTCCACTGAGGATAGGATAAGAGAAGAGAAGGCTCTGGGGAGACCTTATTGCAGCCTTTCTGTACTTAAAGAAGGCTTCTAAGACAGGGAAAGACTTTTTAGCAGAGCCTGTTGCAGTAGGACAAGGGGTAATGGCTTGAAACTGAAGGAGGGGAAATTTAGATTAGATATAAGGAAGAAACTCTTCACTTTGAGGGTGGTGAGGCACTGGAACAGGTTGCCCAGAGAAGTTGTGGATGCCCCATCCCTGGAAGTGTTCAAGGTCAGGTTGGATGGGGCTTTGAGCAACCTGGTCTAGTGGAAGGTGTCCCTGCCTGTGGCAGAGGGGTTGGAACTAGATGATCTTTAAGGTCCCTTCCAACCCAAACCATTCTATGATTCTATGAAAGCAAGGCAAGGGATCTCCAGAAGAGCATGAGATCATACACCCGGAATTCCTTTTACATACCATTAAGTACCAGCTAGAGCTTAAGGGGCAAGGATCAGTCCAGGCTCAGCCCCACAGCCTATGCACCATAAGCCACTCACTGTTTCAGCAGCAGAGTGGGAATTGGATGGATAACAAAAGTCGTGTGGCAAATAACATATTTTGGTTTTTATTGCTTTCCTAGTCATGTCTAGTGGCTGATGGATTCTGCAAACTACCGACAGTGTTTTCCAAACTATTTTCATACATTTACTGAAACTGGAAGTCCATTTTACTGCCCAGCAACAGGGATGATAGGATATATGTCACAAATCTTCACAATTTAAGTGATGACTATCCTAAACAATTTTGTACCACCACAAAACTTCCATGTCATATACTCTCCCTTTTCCAGATAATTTTTAATATGCCAAACAGCACATATGCATTTAGTATATCCTCTTCATCTATCTGTGCTGAATTTGGCCTATTCTCTTTGATTAAGCTTAAGACTATAGAACACTGCCATATAAACAATGAGAAAAAGTACCTATACAAAATACAGAGACTCATCTCATCAAAGGGTAATAAAAGGGAAATGGAATAAACAGATTACAAATTACATAAGTACGTGTGCATACAATCAGTAGGATTACAACATCATAAATACAGACCCTAAGGGTTTAACACTACAAAGAAAAGAGCAGACACGCTGAATAATGTTTTGATATTTGAATGTTTGTATGCTCAAGACCTAACCTTGCAATGGTTTTTAACCATTGGTGGGTGTAAATGGGGGTTAAATGCACATAATTTAATACAAGTCATATACTTAACACATAAGAACTTGTCCTTTATCTCAGCCATATATGCTGAGCATGCGACTTCAGTTTTACCAATTCCAAATGTTCAAGATTAAGATTCAGACAAACCTTAATTCCCTAGCCCCAAAGCATGCAACTTGTTTAGGTGTTAACCTTTCTAAAATTAAGCTTTTATATTCTTCTTGTCCAATTTCTGAGTCTGTGAGGTTCATTTTTTTGCAAGTGTTTCTTCTACATCCACAAGGGTAGAAAGTTGCTTCCCTAAAATAACTCCAAGTTCAAAGGCGAGTTTCTCACATAATCATCTGATTTTGAGAGTTAGTTTCAAAGGAAGCACCAAATACCACAAGACTTACAACAAAAATCACAAGTCAGCAGCACTCTCTGAAAGCTTCTTTTCTCCTTTCTGCCAAGATCAGCTTTGATGTCTCAGTTATTTCCATCTGATATCTGTTACTGTGATGTGTATTTACCACATAATAAAGCATCCCAAGGTTTATGTACAAATCCCAAAGCAAATCACCGTCTAATAGGAATTGACACTCTCATTCAGCTTTCCAAAACCATAATAATAGCTGGCTTGAACAGGACATCTAAAAAGGATTAAATTTAGAGGAGGAAAAAGCAGGAGGAAAAGAAAGGACCGAATTACACAATTCTTGCAGAAGTATAGGGAACTGCCATCTAATACCCTTCATGCTTCTCTCAGACAGCTTTATAAAAGCAATCAGGAACTTATCTCTGTTTTATGCATGGGGAAGCCAAGGTACAGACAAACCACGGTGATATGTTTTGCAGCAGAGGTGGCCCTGGAGACAGATCTGGAGCTCCTGACCACCAGCCCAGCAATGTGCATGCACGCAGCCCCTCCACCACCCGTTCCCTTCCCCCTAAGGTAAATCATTCCTTTCTCACAAAAGCATGCATTTAGGATGCGAAAACACAAATCTTGTTTCCTCACCAGAGTCGGTATCATGAGCATCTGGGAGCGTGAGATGCAGTCCGTTATGCTTTTTGATCACTGGTGTTTCAGTCACACTACTTCCTTTCTCAGAGCCACTGCAAAGAAACAAAACCGTGTTACCTGGCCATCTTTCGGCAGAGAGACTCTCCCCTCCAAGCAGGCTAGTCCCATCTAGCTGCCACTGGAACTGACAACTCAATCTTTCCAGTTGGAGGCAATCAGCTTCTTGAACGTGTTGTTTTAAGACCCCCACCCTGCCAACAGACAGGAAGCTCAGAGACACAGTGCCCAGCAAGGGCTCCAGGGCACCTGCTGGTATCAGGTTGTCTGTCTGTTGGGAGTCTTTGCAAACCACTGGACAAGGAACATGTTGGCACCTAGAAGGCAGACCAGAGGCCAACCAGCAGTCCCACACCCAGGATGAACCACCATCCCTCAGGATTGTCTACAGCAGGATTTGGGCACAGGACTGCTGTGCTGATCCTATTGAAACAGACCAATTACCGCCTTCCACCCAGGTGCTAATTTCTTCATTTCAAAGGGATTGTTTTCTCCTCTTCCACTTTTGTTCGGTTCAAACATAGGAGGAAGATAAAAGCTACCACACAGCTCCGCTTTATAAAAGGAGGACTATTTGGTCTGCTCTTCTACTAGACTTCTGTCCTCACAGGATAGGTCTTCCAAAGGGAAACTCAAAAAAAAAGAAAAAAAAAAACCCCACCTCCCAAAAACCCCCAAAACCCTCAAACAAACAAACAAACAAACCAAAAAAAAAAAAGAAATCACATGCCTAACGAAAAAATCACTTAATGCAGATCTCCTGAGCCTTCCTGTCACCACATAGTTTGCAATCCCCCCAGGATCAGATGGTGATGATATCTCCTCTCATCATCCATTAAGGGACAAAATATCAAAAGGAAAAGTGACTGCCTTGGCTACTTCTTCTGGCACACGTCCAAGTCTGCAGCTCAGCCTTTGGACAATATTCCTCCCAGGAAACAAGCTGTCACAGAGTCATGATTGCTGTGGATGCCCCATCTTCCAGTCTAATCAGTCCTTTGGTAGGGATTGCACAGAATTCCCTTGAATTTGCATTAATCTAGCAGAAGAATTAGCCTGGAACTTCTATTTGGTCTTAAACATGATTATTCTGTTAGCACAGAAAATAATAGCAAAAGATAAATTAAGTCTTGTCCTTCTCAGCTAACAATGTAGGACTGAAAGCCACTGTCATTCATCATAGCGGTAAGCATATTTACAATAGGTAATTAACCTTTTACTTGGGCTTTGGGATCAAATGTTATGGTTTCGTTAATGGACCCTGAATTCTTGGGCATTTGCCTGTTTGCACTAATCTCCAGTCTTGACTGGGCCTCCCTGTCTTCCATACTGGTTTCCACACTGATACTCCACTTGATACTATCATGTGGCAACAGATACAAGGGAAAACTAAATTCTCTGACCTCCATCTCAGCCTTGCCTAGCCAGGATTAACCCAAGTGTCAGTGTCCTGGCTGGAGGCTGCTGGTGAAACCATAAGGGCGTTTCTGACTTAATGGTGTGCTGCATACGCAGGAACGCAGCAGCTACACTTCAAAATATTACTCCCATGAGGCAAGTGCTGCTTCGATGCAGCATCCATCACCACGAAGTCACTGTTCAGGCACGTGGCCGAACACCGGCTTGCACACCATTCCCCCGCACAAAGGGCAGCTGAGGAGATTGGCGGATGGCCTAAGTTTGGCCGCAGTAAAAACTGACCACAGGAGAGCAGCATTCAGAGACAGCTTGATGAGATGGGCCTAATTAACAAAATGCACCTCAGTACAGTCATCAACAGCACAGCCTTTTAACTGGGAAAACAGACTGAAATCCCAGCCTGAAAACCAAGTGGACTGCACTGTGCAAAACAGCCACTCCCAACGGCTTTATTCGTTATCCTGGAGAAGGGCTGAACATTATCTGCTCCTTCAAAGCTGCAGTACAAGGCCTTCAGCCAAGAAAGCTTTTCCATGCACCAGAGAAGAGACAGCAGCCAGATGATTTGCCTTCCACATGCAGCACTGGAAAGGCTGACAGCGGGACACATTGCCGCTCCACTGCCCATGTTTTTAAAAGGTAGCTGAGACAGGGGTGCAATGGTGACAAAATCTGCTGAAGGAAACGCGTGATTGTGAGAGACTGCAGAGGCACCGGTTTATCAGAGAGAAGACAAGAGGGGACTTGAGCATGGCACATGAGTAGCTGCTTGGGGAGAAAATGCTGGGCCCTGAAAGACTCTTTAGTCTAGCAGAGTCATAGTAAGATTGCAAAGCCAGGAAACTCAGGCCAGACAAACGCAACCAAGTGTAACTAAAGTGCCACTTAATTCTGTAGGTGATTAACTGGTGATTGAACTAGGAAAGAGTATTGGGTGCAACAGCTCTCAACTTTATGTAAATACAGGTTTCTCTTTTCCAAGAGGCCCTAAAAAATGTCTGTGTCAAAGTCTCATTGATAAGAATTCCCCTTAAGTTCCTTTGCAAGCCCAACCCGGAATATTTTACATATTTGTTAGCTCATACTGCTGCAATTTGCTTAATACAAGGGGCTTCCTGGGTCACTGAATCCAGTCTAAAACTGCAGGTACCAAGTTCATTCTTGTCACCTTTAAAGCAGCATTTATCAATAGAAAACACTTTATGATGTATTGTTTGAGAAAGCCAAAAAGTCCCACTGGGAATTGCAGTGAAATACACATTAGAGTTCCTAAAAGCAAAAGCAAAGCTATTTGTTTTGTTTAGGCTTCTATGGCTAAAGCTCATCAAAAGCCTCTAAAGCTATCGCATCTTGGGTTTTTAAGTGTAACAGCCAAAGCTCAGCTTGGGATCCGAATGCAGTCCAAATGGCCAAACTATTTATTTGTCTGATTTCCAATGTACTCTCTTCAGTCTTAGGCTTGCAGCCCCCGTTTGCAAGAGTAAATCCTAATCAGTCATAATTGTTCAGTGTGGATTTGATCAGCTTCACGAGGACTACTCATGGGTATAAAGATTATTTATGTGAGAGGTGTATGATTGAATCCTTAGCTAAAGAGACTAAGGCCTAAGGAAATCAATGATTCCAGCCTGTAAGAGACCATTCTCTGCTGCTATGTAAATATCTTATTTTTGTGTTTGGTCTGCTGCTCATTAGCTAAACCAGCAAGGAATTACCTCAAGGACAATTTGTATATAGACATGCGTCATTCTGTACATATACTTCTGGTGTTTATAAAGCTTATGTAAATGTCTACATAAACTAGGGAACAATACTAGCTTCATGAGTCTGCTGTCCTTTCCATCAAACGCAACCTCTATGGACATTACAGGTGAAAGATAAGTGCAGTCTTGAGATAACACTCCCAAGACACTTGTACAGTGGTATCATGACTAGGGCAATACCCAAAGGGTGTGGGAAGGGAGAAAACCCAACCTGGTAGCTTTCACACTTTCTAAACTTTTCCTTTTGGAGGGGAAGCAGATGAGACAGAGAGAACAAACAGGGAACATGACACTGTTTAAATGCTGATTTACTAGGACAAGAGAAGGGAGAAAGATGCTACATCCCTCAACTCCCGTTCCTTGCCCCGTTAGCACCAGGCTATGCAACCGGCATGAAACCACAGCATATGATAGAGTCTTGGCCGTGTGCCTTTCCTTGGCTTACTCAGTTCAGGACTGTGTCACCCCCACACATTCCTGGGTGGTGCCAACTACTGCAGACTCTGAACAATAGTTGATGGATGCTCAGTACTATTGGGGGAAAAAAATAAATCTGCTCTCCATTCCGGACATCTGAATATGGACGGAGCTGTTTATAGACATTCAGATCAGAAACTCTTGTTTCAAACTGCTTCTTCAATCTTATAATCCTGATGTTTGGCTTTGTTGTTTGTGGTTGTGTTTTTTTTTAAATCATGGTTATGAAAATCTTGCCTTTTTTAAAGTTACAGCTAGAAATATTACTTATGTTTCTTTTTAAACAGTACTGTTCATCACCCTTTTTGTAAAATAACTTAAGAATCCAGACAATTAAAGAAGATAACTGCATCTCCATTATGAAATCTGAATTTGTTAGACAGTGGAAAAAGCCTACCTGTGCTGTAAAACACTATATACCATCTGCCACATCTGCAACATATGTCTGCATGTCACCAGAGCCTCTTCAGGTCCTTTATGCATCCATTCCAGTTTTACTTTGGTGAAGAGTAAACTGCAAGATGAAAAAGAATAACTTCTGTTTTATTGGCATCTCATAAATGTGGAGAATCAGCATCACTCTAGCGAGATCCTGGAAGCCAGCATTTTTACTTGCTTTGTATGTGCAGCAATAAAAGAAAACACTGTAGCACAAAACATTTCATTTGGCTCAACTTTGATTCCCCACAAGGAGATGAGAGGATTAACAATATTCCTCAGCTGCAGTCAAATTTGCGTCACAAAGCTGGCAGGACAGTGTTAAAAGCAACGCACTGCAAAGCTAACAAGGTGAAACATGCGGTGAATCTCATTTTATTTTGGACAGCATTAAAAACAGAATAAAAAGGAATTGCCATAATACGTATGCCAGGCTGTTTTCTTAGTCTGACATCTTCTTACAGCACTGGCTTATATAATAAATTTCAGACAAAAACTCCAACACACTTAATATACACAGACAATTACGTAATGCCTCACAGGAAGGAAATGCTTTTTCTTAACCCCAGCTGGTGATCATCTCGTGCCCCTAGGCAAGACAGCTGACAGCCCTTCTACATTCTTGTTCTAGGTAGTGTGACCGCTGCTACTATTCTTATACCTAGAGAACATGTACTTGCACAGACCACTAGAATTCAGCAGAATTAGGTCAAGCAGAGGTTAGACGACAGATTCAGCAATGACACGACCCACCACTTGCTGCTAGGATGGATTTTAACACCACCCTCACTACACTCGTCTTATTTTCTTCTTAATTGCCACGATGATTGAATTTATTTCTTATGTACTAATGTAAATTCACTTCTCTGCTTTCAATGCTTTCATAAAGTCCAAGATCTGTGCTTTTTTAATTAACTCGATATGGCTAGCGATTAATCCACTGGATGCACATATATGTACATACATGCATACTTCAACAGCTGAATGTTAAAAATCCTAAAACCAGGTTTGTGAATGTGACCTGCAGGCTCCTGGGGAATCCAAACAACTTCAGAAGGAAACAACAGTGACTGCATAGATAATGTCAGAGAAGACTTTGCAGCTGAATAAGAGATCTTTCACTTGCAATAATTAGAAATCTGCAGCCAAGACTCTGTGATGCATACCTACAGTAACATGCTAAAATGGCAGTCTCATTCTGCACTAAAAACCATTAGGACATTAGGTTGGGTTTTTTGAGGGTTTTTTTGTTGTTGTTGTTTTGGGGAGGGAAGGGAGGGGAGTGAAGTGGGGTGGAGGCAGAGAGGGGAGAAGTCATCAAAATGTAGCCCAGCTGTATCCACTGCTATAGGGAAGTCTGCTGGTGGCCACTGCTACAGTTTGACCTCACAGAACGAGTATTCAACTAAATTCCCCAGGTACAAACTTAGGCTAGGAAAGGAAGAACAAGATTAATAATCAAAGGAATTGGTCTTTGTCCTTTACTATTTTACATCCCTATCCTATGTTTACCTTTGATTTTCTTGTTACTGATCTGAGCAAGACAAATACTAACAAAAACATCCCCTGCTCTTAGAGATGCTGACCCCTAACTGAAAGGAAGTGTCCTTATTATGATTCAGGTAGTTATTTTTGGGCTAGATCCATGGACTGATGAAAAATTTTGGTGGGACAAAGAATGTGACAGTGGACACACTCTCATAAAACAAGACTGAATTGAAAGGAGTGGTTAGCAATGGAAACTGGCCAGTGATGCACGCTGCTCTGTACCCCTGGGTTAACTGGGCTTGTAAGAACAAAGCTTGTTTTAATACAACAGAACACAGAACCAATCACTTAGGAGCAAGGAACATATATCACACTAGAAAGATGGGAAGTTATACCCTGGAGTGCAATGGCGTTATAAAAGGTATCTTCATGAATGTGAAGCTCCTGAACAACAATGCAGCTAAGAGGTCAAGCAACCTTTAGCATCCCTATACGGAAGCACAATCAAGTAGGAGCTGGAAGATATGGTTATTCCTGTTCACAGCATCAGCAAGACACTACACTCCTGTTTCTAGTTCTTGCTCTTTAACTCCAAAAGACGACTAAAAATGGGATGAGGTTCAGAAAAAGGTTACGCAAGTGATCCGAGGGCTAGAAAAATGTATTTCATCAGAGGCTTAAGAAGCTCAGTTTATTCAGTTTAACAGAGAAACATCAGAGAAGTTATTTCGCCCCAGCCTGCAAGCACCTACATGGAGGAGTACTTAATTGTGAGTCTTTGATCTTAAAGGAAAGGTATCAGAAAATCCAAGGATTTGTTGGAAGCTGAAACTAGTCACATGGACATTTATAAATAAATGTGGACAACATAACTACAAAAGATAATAATCTTTGCAGCAACTACCTTGTGTGCGCAGTAAATTCTGTAGTCTTTAAAGCCTTTTCAGCAAGACAGGGTAACATCTGGAAAGCAATGGTAATGCACAAATAGAAGCTATGGTTTGATGCACCAGCTGGTGAGCAAGCTTCTTCGGACTGCGCTGTGCAGAGGGGTGAGACTGCATCATCACCTTCCTTCTGGCAATTACTCTATTAAAAATATTCTACTGGTCCATGAAACAACCACATTGAACAATCCAGGCTATTTTAAGCACACAGAGTATTTTTGGAACCACTACAAACTTTCAAAATGAGAGACCTTCCAAAGCGCTGTATGACCCTCCTGGCAGCAGAAGAGTGGTGGTCAAGGAGCCTGAAGCCTAGAGAACAGTCGTATTGCACCCCTGAATAGCTCCATGCTTTGGAATGCTGTAAGATGCCACTCTTAATATAAGCAAAATAGAAGAATATTGGAATGAAGAATCTATTAACAGTCAAACTACTACAGAGGAGGGTTATATTAAGGGTTCCTTCTTGCTTTCACATAGATGACTTAGTTATCAGTTGGCAATTAAAATCACTACATAGTATATTTAAACATTACAAAGACAAACACATCAAGTTCTTTTCTACATCACACTGCTGTTCACTGCTTACAGTGAGTATACGTCAACTTCTTTGGATGAAGATGCCGTGTTCTATTTCAGGAGAGAGAACAACTAGTGAAACATAGGAAAAAAGCAAATCTCTCACAAAAACATAATGAAGTCCTAGCACAATATTATCACTGGTCATAAGGCACAGGCACACAAAGGTTAAAAAAAAAAAAATTCATGCAACTTTAGCAACTGTCTCTGCAGTGCAACACTGACAAACCTCAGAGACACCACACGCTGTTAGTTGTTGTGGTAATTCACCCTTGGAACAGTGCTATTCATGTTATCATGTAATAATATAATGAAGCAAACCAAAAGGCAAACGGGAAGATTGTAAGCGGCAAAAGGAATCGAACCATGCTGACAGCATTAGTAAACAATGCAATTAAACATGATAATTAAAAGGTGAAAATACAATCAGGACATTAGGCTGTATGTCCTATACGCTGTTTATATTTCTCCACTTCTAATAAGTTTTATAATAGCAAAACCAGATAAATAAAAATATAGGGAAAACATTGAAGTGAAGTAGTATCACTTATCTCAAGTTTATAATTTTATTACTGAGATAGCAAAATAAATCTAATGAGTATTGCGTCATATCAGTGTCTGTCCACAACTCTCAGGGGCATAAATAAAAATTATATATGCACAGATCTCACCTTATTACATTTTCTTAATATCATTTTACTGTACTTTTGTACGATGCTTGTAGTATTAAGCACAGCAGACTCTTAAAGAGATTCAACATATAAAAATAGCCCCAAGATTTTCAATACAGTCATTGGTAATTCTGTTAGCTTCTGAAAATGAAAACAGATTTGGGTTAAAGCAAACATATAAATTACTACTACATAAGCACAGGAAAAAAGAGCAAAAAATCCACAAATCATTCTTGTAATGCATATAATTTCAGGGACAATAACAATGGAAAATAACCAGTGTTTATTCTTGATACCAGGCTCTAAGCTCCCTCTCAGAAGAGGTTTATCTTTTATCTTGTGTGTGGACAGTATGCAAAGGCTTCTATACCCTGATGTAACGTCAGATTACTGCCACAAGCAAACGTACATATTTATCACAGTAACATATAACTCCGGCAAATTACAATCTGTATACAGTTGACTTTGCTGAGATATGAACCTCTAAAAATTCAAAATTAAGTTTCCCAAGTATCAAAATTTCGGTAGTATAAATGACATAAATATCACTATAATATGCCATGCATTGACAAAAAGTAGGGGTGGAATACTGGAAGGCCTAAGAAAATTTTCGGCAGCAAGCAAGCTACTTTGGTGGATTTCAGGAGGTATTCAACATTTGTCTTCATAAAGACTGATTTCAGCTGCTGATACTCACCATGTCTCAATGCCTGGCCAAATACACCTACCTAGCCTTCCTGAGAGTCTTCTAGTACTACGTGGCTAAATGCTCAGCCTTTAAGGTCTTTAATATTACCCCTGAAGAAAAGAGGCAGTTCTTTCCTATCGCTGACAATCTAATTACTGAGGTTTAATAGTTAATACTTATTATCAGAGGGTTTCACATGTGCATATGGTATACTCTAAATGTTTATGAGCACATCTGCGGAAGAAGTTGTAAGTTGCTATGTTTAGTAATAACCTATTGACTACTTTATGGATGCTACAGGACTATCTAAAGATTTATTAATCAGTTAACTATTGGGACTTTTAAAAGATGCTTTAAAATGGAGTTTTTAGTATCAAATATAGCCCTTTAACCACATGTTTATAAAGCATCGCAATGGGATCTCTGCGCCCTATCATCTAAAGGCAATAAATAATACTAGTTCTATAACAAACAATAACACATTCCACTTATTTCAAGGTTGAGCGATTAAATTAGGAATAGTGAGTATTATGTAGTCATTTATCTATATGTTTTGCCATTCACTGGCTACTTATAACCCCTCCAGCTTTTCAGAGCTTGTCAGCAGCTGCTTAAAGATCTACATGTCTTACAGCTTTACCAGATCAAGGCCATCATTCCCCAAAGTCTTTCATTATTTACCCAGATTTGCCTACTTACACAC